CTAAACCGTTCCTGAATAAAAATTAATTGCATACGCGAAATGTTGTCGGATACGTTTAGTGTAATAATACTTTGTTTTTATTTTTCGTTAGACGAGTAGTGTGTATCTTAAGATAACTTTAATTTTAATTGAAAAATAATGAAACGGAATTAACGCGGAATTTCCGTGTCCTGCAGGTCCATGGCCGAGAACAACGCAAACGTTTTCTCTCTCTCTCTCTCTCTCTCTCTCTCTCTTTCTCTTTCTTTCTTTCTCTTTCTCTCTTTCTCTCTCATGCTCACGGCTGATGCACGCCACGTGAAAAGTCGCGGAGGCGTGGCGGCGACGAATTTAGATTGTTGGCGCCTCCTCAACGAGAGAAATAGACTTTAAGAGATGGGGTGTGGGGAATTTGCCTTTATTATTATTACTCTCTACCCCACTCCCCCCCTTTCCCCCCCTTTTCCTCCCCTTTTAACTTCCACTTCCTCCCTTTCCCCCTATTTCTTTCTCTCTCTCTCTCTCTCACTCTTTTCATTTTCATTTATTTATTCAAATCGTTAATACAATATTTTAGGGACTAAACCAAAAACCAGATATAATATTTCATTTCGTGTTCTTTTTTTGTTCATTTTTTAAATCGTTATCTGTTCGCCTTAAGGGGTTACATGGGTTTACACTGGGAAAAAATAGCATATTTTCAACAATTTTTTTTTCTATATAAAAAATGAAATTCTTATTCAAACTTTTTCTAGTATTTAAAATAGATATTTAAAGAAGATTTTCTGAATTTTTGGTTGAAAAATATTTTAAACTCAGCCATTGCGACGTCATTTCCGGTGACCCCACCGAAAAAAAGTGTTTTCGCGTTGACAGCAGAACTTATAAACGGTAGGGGTTTTTCTGTTGAAAAAATAGGGTCTTTTAGTGAAAACTTAAAACTAGAAACTGGACGAAGGAAAAAGAAAAAAATTGAAATTTGGATTTTTGGCAACGTTTTTACCAAGAACATTCAAATTTCGCTACAATTTGCACCACATTTTGGTTTCTTAAAATTCGATTTTATGAAAAAAAACGAAAATCCTTCGTCCAAGTCCTTGTCAATAGTATCACGAAGACGTGTAGCAAATTTCATGAAAATCGGTTAAATAGTTTTCGAGAAATCTTGACGACCGACNTCTTGACGACCGACTTTAGAAAAAGCGTTTTGAGAAAAATGCATTTAAAGATTTGAGTGCTGGTATAAGAACCATTAAAGAGTGCAACTTCCCAGGGCTCTATCTTTAAAACTACTACTCCTATCGACTTCAAAATTGAATACAATATTCTAGATGAGTTGTAGAATTGAAAAAAAAAATAAAAAAAAAAAAATTTTTTTTGAAAGTCCCAAACCCATGTAACCCCTTAACACAAACTACTCTTCTTTTTTTTAAATATTATTTTTCATATTTATACGAATTTAATTTCCCCCGTCACGCGTTTAACTTTTGTCGTATCCTGGATTGTTTATTTTTTGTTTGTTTTATTTTTAATTCGAAGAATCGTAGGTATAGGGTAAAAAAAATGTTACTTTAAAAAAGTGTCGGGGCTTATCTTTGCCTAGTTCTTTTTTCTTTTTTTTCCTCTATTCTACCACCACCTTTCCCCTGCCACCCTGTTGATGGTGGTCGAGAGAAAGTCGTAGTATTTTTTTTTTTTTTTTTCCTCGCGGATCGAATCGAAACGTGAACTTATTTTAAGTTAGAATAGCAGTGTTTGGATCGATCTTGTCATGGAAAACACGTCATGCAGTGTACGACGTGGTGCGTTCTGTGTTTTCTAGCTAGCTAACCGCGCGTGCATGCACATGCACATGCACATGCAAATGCACATGGAAATTAATAAAAGGGAGAAAGAGAAAAGTTTGTTTTCACACGCTTTGGCAAGATGCGTTCAATGCACACATGGGGAATATAATATCTATGAAATATTTTTTGTTTTTTTTTTTCCCCCTTTCAATTAAGCGCTTTTGAATACTTACGTGATTTTTAATAAACCTTTTTTTCTTTATTATTATTATTATATTGTTTAGAAAATCCTCAAAATATCCAATTAATTTCTATTACACTTATACAGAAATTTATTATATTTTTGTTCAAATGATTTCCCATTAGTGTATATTATCGTGAAACAGATTGTTACGACCACGTTACTACGATCATGTTCGGATCGAGTTCTTTATTTTCGTTAGGTTTTTTTTTTCTTTCTTTTTTATTACTTTACAGAGGTTAACTAACTCGGCTTGTAACTCGTTTGATTCTTTTTTCTCTTCTTCTTCTTCTTATTATTATTATTCTTATTCTTTCCTACGATTCTCGTTCCTTTCAATTCGCCTTTCGCTAAAAAAACCATTAAACCCCCTCCACTACTCCCCACCCCCCACCTTGTCCCCACTCGTTGTAATAATCTCGTGTATATCGCAAATTAATTATGTAATTCGTTAATTAATTGATAGAATGAGAAATAATGATTGAGAATGATTGAGAAAGAAGATGACTATACATATGAACACATATTATACTCTATGTTGTTTCGTAAATGAATTTAAAAAGTTCACGGTGATAGATAAATCGTGTTCGCCATTAGTACAAAAAAACAAAATGCACGTTTTGTTTTGTTTCCAATAACCAGTGTTTCCAAAAAAAAGTTTTACTTTTTTCTTTTTCTATTTTAATCATTCTGAGAAATACTACTACCTACCACCTACTTTTCAGTCTACGGTTATAGACACTAAGAAAAAAATAAGAAAGAAAGAAATATATGAAAGTATAAAAACCGAGGTCTAGAACAATGAGATTAAAAATCACGATCATTCTTCTTCTTATTCGCATTCATTCATTCATTCATTCATTTTTTAACAAAACTTTAAAGGTCTGTACAATTTCAAATGCCTGGTTTTTTAAAAATTGTAAACAAACGTGTGTTTTATATTACTCGTTATTTACGTACTTACGTTCGTGAAAAAAAAAGAACAGAAAATAAGGAAATAATTGTATAAATGATAGTAATAACAAAAATAATAGATAAAATTTGATAGAAAGGGTAGATGGTTCACATGACGTTAAATAAACAGGAAAAATAGATTAATTGTAAGAGGAATCGGTAAAATCAGCACTTATAAAGTTTTGGCATCGTTTTTATGAGATAATGGTCGTCCATATAGTATCCTCCTGGTTTTTGGCACCCAAACCCGTTGACACTTGTCGCAGGGAAGCTCAAAATAAGATTTTCATTCTATGACAGTTGGGAACGTGCGTCATATTTAGACTTAAATTCGTAGCAGAGTCCACCGTTGTCGTCGTCTTAGTCGTCTTACAGAAATATAGAAAGTAACAGGGGATATTTTTACATTTACGTTTGGAAACCTCGCTGGTATTTTGCCGTTCCATTAATAGAGAAAGTATAGTTGAGATAATTCCCATTCGGTTTTATTTCCAACAACACAACACAACCAACTACTACCATTACCAAACACCAACACAATTTCAACACAATTTCAACTCAATTCAACTGAACTTTTCTCCCACCCCCAACCCCACCTCGTGTTCTTTAATTTTGTATGTATACCTTTTTATTATTAACATTTCATTTGAATTTATTTTTCTTCTTTTTTTTTCTTTTTTCCAGAGGAAGTTTCTATGAAATAAAAATGCGGTGGTAATAATCGTCGAAGGAAGAAGATCATCACAACGTAGAGGAAAAGAAAAAGAAGAAGAAGAAGAAGAAGAAGAAGAAGAAGAAGAAATCGTCATGGATCAAAAAGAGGATCTTTTGTCTTTGTGGAAAATAACAGGATCTTTAGTGAGAAGATTATTCGACGAATAGTAGTATAATTAATTATACTACGAGTAATCATTATTGTGTGTATCATCACATCGTCGTTTATGGTGTTCGACTAAATTTATTATTCGTCTCGTTGTACCCTGTTTTTTTTTTCCTTTTCGTTTTTTTTTCCTTCCTCGAGTATTTCATTTTCAAATGTTGTGCATAACATTGTCGTTGATGTATAATACACCGTGATAACAACGTACGTTTATGTTGGAGAAAAAAGTGTGAACAACAAATAAAAAGAAGAAGAAGAAAAAGAAGAAATAATTGAATAGAATAGGAAGAAGAAGAGAGAGAAACAAAAAATAGTGTGAATATACGCCGTAGAATTTTATTGTTAATTATAGAACCGTCAATTTTATGTTAATAACGTGACTACCAAACGATTTTCGTGGATAAACTACTTAAGAGGAGTGTCATATGGCTCTGGAATATGGTACTACTACCTACAATATGCACCACACGAATCAATTAGGTATGTAATGAATTTATTTAAGAAAGAAAACAAACTCACTTGAATTAAATATGCTTGAAAATGATTTAGAGAATAGAACAATGGGATATAATTTAGAATTTAAATTCCGATTGTGAAACGTGACGATACAGTTTTATTACCGAACACTTTTTTAATTACAAATGTAGAATAGGTGGAATTAAATTATTTAAAAAGTAATGTCACTTACCTTTGATCAAATATATCAGAAAATGATTTAGAGAATAGAACAATGGTAAATAATTTAGAATTTAAATTACGATTGTGAAACGTGACAATACAATTTTCTTACCTGAACATTTAATTATGAGTTTAGAATAGAAGGAAGAGGAGAAGGAGGAGAAGAAGAAATAATAATAATAATAATAATAATATGCGATTTAAAAATAGTATACATAAAGCGTGAAACAAAAATTCATTTAGAGTTTTTAAGAGTTCTCATTGAAGTTTTCTTCTTAGGTCTCTCCTAGGTTGTTGTCATCAGTATGAAACTGTGAGCTTATCCAGTGGTGAATCTAAAAGCGAAAACTTTTCTCTTCTTCTCACTTTCTTCAGAGAAAGAGGAGATGGAAAAGGAAACTGAGAGGAGAAATGGTTACCTCTTTTTCTCTCTCTCAAATGTGTATGTGTGGTGGTTGTGTATATATGTATAAGCGTGTTCACGTTTTAAGAGAAGACGTATACAAATGTCAGCCTATATATAGCGGACGTTCTTCTAATCTTAGCAGTCGGCCAACAGCCAGAAATACGAGCAAAAAATCACTATAACTCTTTCCCTTTGTCTTGTCAAATGTATATATATATATATATGTGTGTGTGCATGTGTATATATACGTATGCGTACACGTGAAAAGAAAAATTGTTTAAACAACTTTACCATAATACTTATCATATTTCGATAGAAAACATTTAAATTAGTATAATCTTGGAAAAAATTTAATCTTTTTTTTTTTTTCTAATATAAAAAAAATTAAATCAATTCGAGGTATTATTAACCCTTCTTTGCATGATGATGGAAATTTCAATCGTAATATTTAGTCAACAAAAAGAGGTACTCAAAACCCTTGTACTGTATATTTGTTGTTGCTGGCAACTTTTTAAGCGACTATTGCGTACAACAAAACGCASTTGTYARAAAATARCACTAGGATTTTTTTTAAATATTTTTCCTTTAATCTAGAGCATTAATAATTATCACCCTGATTTATTTAAAAAAAAAAAAAAAGAAAAAATCATGCAAAGAAGGGTTA